AGGGGGTTCCTGCTGAGGTAAAAGGGAAATAACAAGGATCCCCCAATCTACTACTAGAGTTATCAAGACCTATTCAACTTAGTGTTTCTAAATTAGTTAAGTTCGACCTGGTGTCTTAAACTTTGGTTTGTTTGATGGGACGATGGGACTAGTTGTTAAGGCCAGAATCTATATGTCTGCTTCAGTGACACCATATATTCCGGTCAAGGCAACTGACGTCTTGCTATTTGGAAGATCTATGCCAGGTAAATGGAGTTTTATTTTATGATGTTTTACATTTCCACTGTCATCAATCTACTGCTTGAATTCTATGTTTACACTGCTGATATAATTCCAGAAAGAGACATTTTGATAGACTCACCAGATAATCCTTGTAATTTGACTTATTTTTTCTTCTGCGAGGTAATGAAGGTTGAAATGTCCTGTCCCCCTCTTATGCAACTCTACTGCATGAAACCTCATAGAAAGAGAGAACATTATACACTCAATGATATTCCCCACTTTTAGGTAAATGCTCTTGCCTCATCCAGTATGACGAGGTATAGGAAAGGGAACTTTATTTCTATGAGGGTTGATTATGACTACAAGTAATCCCCTTATTGTGCCTACAACAGGTTTTTACCCTTGTCAGGAATAACTATATTTTATGTCAAGGAAGGGAAAGTGCCTGTATTGCAGATAAATGCCATGAAGTAGGTCACTGATTTCATATCACAGCATAGTCCTCATTTATTATCATCCTATTAATCAGGGAAGACACTGCTTACTATACCTATACTTGTTGTTTGTCTTGAACTTTTATACTTCGCCAGTTTGTGAAGATTTGTATGCATGAGCAAATGTTATATCTAAGTCAGTTTGGAGTTTAACTTTTTGGTTTGAGCACAGTTGGGCTCTGCTCCAAGTTGCCAGAATTTGCTTCCCTGAGTTCAATTTTGACAGGAATAGTATGTCAGTGTATACAACCCACTGAGCCCTATAATGGTTTCTTGAGGAATGAGGGATGAATTGTTTTGTCTCAAGCCCTCTTTAATAACTGTGTTTGGCGAATGAAGACTCCAGTATTGTGCCATTTATGTCAATCTCTTTGCCTTATGGTTTGCCTCCTAGCATTTTAACAAATATAAAGTCATTTCCTGCAGTTATTACAGGGCAGAATCACATTGCCTAGAACTTTGTAAAGTATAGGTATGATAGCCCTGATTTTTGAGTAGATGTAGACAAAGGATTGTTTTTTTAAGAAGGGGTTTTAATAGTGTTCAGGTTCTGGAACAGTTATCTTATGGGTAAATTCTATGCCTATTCAGTAATGAGACAACAGATAGTTTTACTCCCAGATTTTGAAAACCGTATTAAATATAAAACTCAATTAAATGTCCATCTAAACACAACTTCTGGGGGTGCTTTCTCTTACAAGGTATAGTTAGCTATGCTCCCCCCTGTTGCATCAACTTCACTGGCTGCCAGTCTTCTACCGAGCACAATTCAAAGTGCTGGCTTTGGCCTATAAAGCCCTAAACATTTCCAGCCCAGCTTACCTGTCTGTACGTATCTCCCTTTTTGAACCACTGTGGAAGAAGAAGAAAAACTTTATTTTTCTACCCTGCCTCCATCTCCTCGAAGGGACTCGGGGCAGTAAGGGGCCAAGCCCAGGGAACATACAATTAAAAGCAAAGAAATAACAAAATGCAATTTAAAAAGCATAAAACAACATAACAATAATAGACAAGCATCAAGCAACTAATAACAATAATAGACAAGCATCAAGCAAACATTTGAAAAAAAAAAGGGGGGGGGAGGCCAATATGCGGTAGGCTGATTAAAGAGTAATTGGTTCAGTAAGGTGGATGAAAATGTATAATAGCATAGGAAATATGAAAACTGAGCAATTTAACAGGATCAGAAACAATTCAGTTGGACTTACAAAATCTGGATAGTAATGTAATATAGGAAATTCAGATTGATTATAATTAGGTAGCAATACAGGTCGTGGAGATTAAGATCTTCTGGGGAGGCTCTCCTCTCAGTCCCACCTCTTTCACAGGCGTGGTCGGTGGGGACAAGAGACAGGGCCTTCTCAGAGGTGGCCCCTCGGCCGTGAAACTTCCTCCCCAGTGAGATTTGATCAGCTCCTTCCCTCGTAGCCTTCAGAAATAACATTAAAACATGGCTATTGGACCAAGCTTTTGAAGAATAACTGCAGTGCAATAAATTGAATTGGCATTGAATTGTTTCCGATGTGTAAGGCCACTCTGAGTACCCCTTGGTGTTTAGAATGTAGAATCTGTGCAATGACAACTGGAATAGCTCTGGATTAGGACCTTGGATTGTGTGATTTTAATAATTGATATAATTGTTTTGGATGTTTTTAATTCTTTGGTTTTTAACATGATTTTTTATTAACTGTATGTTGTTTTTAAGGCATTGAATTGTTTCCGATGTGTAAGGCCATTCTGAGTCCCCCTTGGTGTTTAGAATGGCAGGGTACATATGTGGCAAATAAATAAATAAATAAATAATATATTTTGGATTTGTTAATAATTAAATTTTCCTAATTGCAAACCTTCCTTAATTTAGAAAAAGACAAAAAATCAAAAGTGAGATTGTAGTAATTTCCTAGGATTTTTGACTGATTGCCCATACCGATCAACTATATACATGGTGTATCAAATGTTATGCCAAGTTATCTGATGACTCTAAATTTTGACATATAAAAATAATCTTCTAAATACTTATTTTCTATATCTGCTCTCCTTTGTAGAGATTCAGGGTCTTGCCCATGTGCTTCATAAGACTCTATAAAAGAAATTGCAGATTAGTTGGATACTTTCAACTATAATTCAGGGTTATCAAGCCATTTGGTCTGTGGAATGGTACTTTAAACATCAGTAAATTATTTGATATGCTAGCAAAAAACCTAAGGTTTTTGCATCTGAACTGTGTTATGTTATGATCAATGGGAAGTGGCAGAATTTTTCATGGCCCACAGTTGATAATAGGGACAAGGTGTATGGCTGGAGAACTTTAACCCTGAGACAGAAAAAATGATCATTGTAATGCTGCTTGCAGTCCTTATGGTATTTTGAAAATATACATGTAAAAGCATACATCAGAATAAAGGAAGCAGTATGCTCTGGTGTATTGTTCTGGGTCTTGGTGAAATGGGCGTGACAACTTTAGTTGAAATAGAATTCCAAAACGAACCAGAATGTGCTTTGGATCAGCAGGCTTGTTAATCAATCAATCAATCAATCAAAACTTTATTTGTATCTTGCCCCCTCTCCCCATGGGGACTCAGGGCAACTAACAACATGAAATAATAATAAATCAAATGAGCAGTATAAATAATGGATCACTAATTAAATCATAAAATCAATAAAACACAGTTTTTGAAAGAGGATAGTGAAGGGGCCATTCTCATTTCCTTTTGAGAGAATTCCAGAGGCGGGAGGCAACTGCAACTGCAGAGGAGGCCCTCTTCCTTTTCCCCACCAGCCGGGTTTGAGACGGGGGTGGGATCAAGAGGAAGGCATCCCCTGGTGACTGCAGTGTCTGGGCAGGTTGATATGAGGAGAGGCGGTGTGTCAGGAAGTCTGGACCCAAACCATTTAGAGCTTTAAACGTAACCATCAGCACTTTAAATTTCGCAAACTGGCAGCTAGTGGAGCTGCCATAACATGGGAGTTGTTCTCTCCCTGTACGGAACTCCAGTTAGTAACCTGGCTGCTGCTCACTAAACCAGTTGAAGCTTCTGAGTGCTCTTTAAAGGCAGCCCCACGTAGAACACATTGCAGTAGCCCAATCGAGATGTAACTAGGACATGTGCTACCGTGGCCAGATCCTCTGTCTCAAGGTATGGGCACAGCGAGTGCACAAGCTTTAATTGTGCAAAGACACTCCTGGTCACTGTGACACCTGGAGCTCCAGTGTCAGCAATGGATCCAGGATCATCTCCAGGCTGCGAACATGTGTCTTCAGGGGGCATGTAACCTCACCCAGAATGGAAACTAAATCCTGACAAGACAGAGGTACTCCTTACAACTGTAAGGCAGATCAGGATATGGGGATGCAACCCATTCTGGATGGGGTTACATGCCCCCTGAAGACTGCACCTTCTGGTATGATCCTCTAGGAAGGAACAGAGCCACTGTAGAGCAGTGCCTCCTAGGGCCTTTCCACACATATAACTCAGAATATCAAGGCAGAAAATCCTACAATATCTGCTTTGAACTGGGTTATCAGAGCCCACACTGCCATATATTCCAGTTCAAAGCAGATAATGTGGGGTTTTATTCAGATGTGTGGAAGGGGGCCTAGTCCCATCCCAGCAAGTTAAATGTATGTCCTAAGGGCTACAAAGTTGAAAATGCCACTCTGAAAACCGCAAACAAGGAATTGCTTTCCAGTTCCTTTCCCTTTCTTTCCTGAGGCTGAAGTGAATGAGGAAATCTGCTTCATATTTGGATTTTGTGGCAGCAATTAGTCCTCAGACCTTGATGAACTGCCAATGTTCTGGAGTTTCTCTGTGCTCATCATAATGTAGGAAACTGGTTACATGCACTGGTACTGCCCTTAGAGTGCAATATTTTATGTCCTGGATGCTTTTAGGAAACATCAACCAGTCCAAGACTAAGCTTTGGCTAATTTCTGTTAGAAATGACTCTTCGTTTTGAATGCAAAGACCTCTTGTGTTCTGATGAAGTTCCTCTTCTCTTCTGTGCTTGTTGAATCGCACACATCAGCCAGGCATTTGAAACCTTTTCCGTTTACATTGGGATTTCAACAACTAAAATAACATTTTTTAAAAATATGGAAGTTTAGAAACTTTAGATCAGTATTTTGCATCAGTATTTTGCAGCTAACATTTTTTTAGAAATAAATGTTAGTATAAAATCTTTGTAGCACTGCTGTGAGTTAATATGCTCAAGTTGTTGAATTTCACTGCAAAACAGAACTGTAATGTGCAACCATAGAAATTACTGTTCGTTTTGTTTTTGCAGCTTCAGATTGCCAAATCCCCATCCGCACCATTCACATCTTTCTTATTTGTGATTGAAAAATCCGGTTTGGTTCTCCAAGGTAAGGCTGTGAAGTAAAAAATGACTTTTGTTCTACTGCTCTTCAGCAATCAAAAGTGATATACTCTCAAATGTTGTACACTGCGCATTACACTGGATTAATTTCTTGAGATGTAGCTTCTATAGACTCACTCATTCTACACAAACAGTATGGTTCATTTCAGATATCAAAAGTCTTGCTTTGTTTAGTTTCAGAAGCCCAGCCATACTACAGCACTGTAAAGAAGAGAGGGGGCTCATACGTATTTGTAGATATTGCTTTCTCCTCTTCTTGTGCATTGAGGGTACATCTACACTGTAGAATTAACTCAGTTTGACACCATTTTAACTACCATGGCTTAATGCAGTTTGGTGAAGCACTAGTACTCCGGTGATTTCATAGTATTGAGCCATGGCACTTCAGTGGTGTCAAACTGCATTAATTCTACAGTGTAGATGCATTCTGAGACTGGGAGTGGCTGTTAAGGTTCACACATTTCTCTTTCCTGCTTCATTCACCATAAGTAGAATAAATATGTTTGAACACAGATCCTCTCTGGTCAGACAGAACTCACATTCAAATAAATATGTTTCAGTTTTCAGGTATTACATTGTGTACTAATAAGCACAGAATACTAGGAAATTGCTTCTGTAATTGTCTACTTCTGCATTTCAATCAGGAAACAGAATTTATTGCTTGTTGTTGATGAGCGAGTGGAGGAGGAGTAGGGAAAAAGCATGCCAGCCTCAGATTTTGCTTGTCCTCATGGACATAGTGATGACTAGGAGAATAGCTTGCAAACAAAACTATGTTTAAATTTCTTGAACCAGCTGAAAAGATGATCACAAACTGCTTAAAAGGAAGAATGTTTTTCTAGAGGGAAGCCTGTAGAGAGAAGTCAGGTAAAGGTTGGAATCTACGCTGGTGGCAAAAGGACATTTTAGTGCTAATGAATGAGCTCTGTTCCACAGTCCAACTGCAGAGGCAATGTTTCCATTCATTCTTTATTGTGCGAGGCCGTCAGTGTCAGGAGGAGTGCACATTCAACGTATGTGACAAGGGAACAAGTGGATGCGTGTGGGAACCGGTGAAGAACAGCTGCCTGAAAAATGGAGTTGGGTGTGGGGAGAGGGAGGTGAAGTCTGTCACAACTCTGTTAACCAGGAGGTGGAAAAAAAAATATCCTGGCGTTTGAAATCATACCTGAAAACTACTTTGTTGCAAAGGGAAGGAAGAAAGCACCACAGAAGAAATCCCCAGTAAAAGAAAAAGTTTGATTAAACTGCTCTGTAGGCAATTCCTTTTGCTATCCCTAGGGGATTAAGAAGTGGGGATAGAGCTAAAAATCCAAGTTGTTTTCCCCCTTTTGTTCCTGTGGCCTGGTGGTTAATAAAAAACGGCAGGAGCGGATGGCTAGTTAGGGATTTCCCTGACTGCTGTTTGATGCAGTTTAAGGAGCTCCTTTTCTATTGTTGCAGTTAAAATGGAAAGCGGAACTGTTCTCCATTTGCAAAAGTTTCCAGCCTGCTAGGCTGAGAGTGAAAAAGCTATTAAGATGGTAATGCTGCCCTATTCAGAGGAGTGCATCAAAATCCCCTTTGTTGATGTAAATTGCTGCTCTATTGCCTGATCTCTTTGGATCTCATGGTCTAGGTACAAGCAGAGAAAATTGTTTAGTGAGTCTTGGGTGGAGGGAAACCGCAGCTCTTATATCATTTTAGATGATCACCGAGCTGCCCAAGAGCACTGCAGTGGGAGACTTCTGTGCCTTTGTAAACCTGAAGTGCCCAGTGATGAAAAGAATCCAATTATTCAGTGGCTCTTTTATTGCTGCTTTCACTCTTGAGAAATGCTGCTCAACAGTTTGAAGACAAGGATGACTGGTCAAAGGGTTCTGTTAGATTCTGAACCATGTTTCAAGCACATTGTGCAAAACAAGGAGAAAAATAAGCAAGTCCCAGAGGGATTGGCATGCTTGGTGAGTTTAAAATTCTGGTTACACGAGATCTATAGTATACACAGAGGAAGAAATCAAAAGCCTGAATTGCTCTAAAAGACTTCTGAAAACAGGAACAAGATATCATATTTATATTTATTCTCTCCCTTTGAGTCTGATATTGTGAAGCTAAACATGCAGATTCAAAAATGTTTCTCTCACGGAGATATGAGCCTTAGTACATATTTACATGCATTGACATTATTTCTATTCCATACATGCATTTTCCAGCAATACATTTTCTTTATTCATCAGATTTATTCAGATTCTGCTAGTGTTGTATAAGTAAAAAAATGCACTTCCACCTATCTTACTATTGCTGGTTAGTAGAAGAGAAACAGTGAAATGTGTTTGTACTAGAAAAGGAAATAACTGTTTCAGTCAAGGAAGCTTTGATGAGGAAGTGGTTGTTTTAGATACAAAAACAGGGGTTTCCCCCCAGTGGCACAGCAGCAGCAGCAGCGAGTGTCATCCCACCACTTTGATTGGAAGTCTGCAGTGTATCCTTCAAGAGTAGTTGCTTACTCTTGCTTTGGTGCATGAAAAAAGACGTGTACAAGGCTACTTTTCCATTTATGAGCTTTCTCAGAGGTCCAGTAGTCTCCATAATCTGGCCTTGCCTCATGGTCAAGTATATGTTTGTAAAGAGCAATACTTTTCAGTGTAGTAATTTAGGCTCCATCTTTAAGTCCGCAGTTATGGTTAGATGTCTGTCTTGCTTCTTTGCTTTAATTATCCTTTTTTTGTATTGTTGAAGGCTTTCATGGCCGGAATCACTGGGTTGTTGTGAGATATCACAACCTCTGAGGATGCCTGCCATAGATGCAGGTGAAATGTCAGGAGAGAATGCTTCTAGAACATGGCCACACAACCCAAAAAACCTACAACAACCCTATCCTTTTCTTTCTCAAATTTCACTCATGTCTATCTTTTAATAGCTCAGTGTCTTCTCTTAATCATATTTGAAAATAGTGATGGTATTGTTGGTGTATCCATCCTACACAAATGCACTGCCTTCAGATTAGGATCATAAGGACTGGCATAAAACCAAAGGTAGGTTTGTGGCTTTGTAACACGAACCAGGTAGTTATGCTAGTCAGCAGTTTAATGGGGGCTTGAACAGGGTTCCAGTCAGTCTAAAGATGCTCAGCCTTCACTTGTTGAATAGCAGCTAGTCAGCAACTCAGTAAAGGTTGAACAGGAAACCAGGCAGTCTACAAGCAACTTAACCTTTCCATATAACAAGGTGATTTGCCTGAGTTGTCCGTCTATAAACAACAGTCATATAAGGCCAGAAGGGAGCTTGTGGGCTCCTCCACAGGTGAAGGCCAGTAGCTAAATGCCTCTTTCATCTCATAACAGTCAACATGGCAGTTCCCTATGCTTGCAAGCTGGAATGGGTGAGAATTCAATTGAAATTGGGGGTGGGAGATTGTTAGGGCCTCATAAAAATTGTAAGAGCCTCAGACCATTGCTCATTGACTTTCTATGTATTCCATTTTTCCTGCTAAACCTAGATCAAGTTGGGGCTTTGTCCTAGAGAGCCAAGATTTAATCAAACATTTGGTATTAAAATTTTTAATAAATTCAACGGAGACAGGAAGTGCCGTTTTTTACCATCCTATTTATTGAACTAAACAGAGAACAAAGGGCTAGAAATTTGTAGAAAATTGTGGTGTTGTGGCATGGATCTAGTGCAGTGGTTCCCAACCTATGGTCTGTGGACCACCAGTGGTTCGCAAGAACTAAAATATGGTCCGTGGCCTCACTCTTACTACTTAATAGTTGCAACAAGAGTGACTGGTCTTGTGAAACCCTCTTATAGTGCCGAGGCTGATTACATATGGTTTTCTGTGGGCAAGCAGATGGTGACTACTCAATGACATAGTTCTGTATCCGAAACTAGAGCTGATGTGGTCTATCCAATGCATTTTTCTGAATCAGCACCCCAAATAATTAAATCTAAAGTTGACCAATAACTGATCCATAACCCTTTTGGTACTAATGTTTGAGAGTGGTCCTTGCTCAAATTGGTCCCTAGTCAAAAAAGGTTAGGAACCAGTGACCTAGTGCTTAAGGATGAACTGTCTCTACCACTAGTTCTCTCCACATCCTTCCAAGGATTATTTCACTTGGGAGAAGAGAATCTGCTATGGGAGACTACTAGGCTTTACTTTTCTGAGGTTTCTTGCATAAAACTTGGAAAGATCCAAGCATTTTCCCAGAATTCTCCCAGAAATTTCAAATATAAACAATAGAATCCAGCACTCACCCAGCTTTCATAACTGTGCTGAGGTTCTGGTCATATATCCGTGTTTTTCATTTTCATATATGAGTTTTTTTGCTCCTCCCTCTTCTCCCAATTGTTACAAAACTTTGGGGACAACCCTCTTGTCTAATGAAAGAAATCCTTTAGATTAAAGGAGGGTGTTACAGAACAGTGCAACACATGAATGATAATTAATGTCTATCAGAAATAAATGCGATCTTTGTTAAGAACATGAGTAGACCATATAACTTTTCAAAAAATGGTTCAAGTTGGTTAATCAATTGTGTCTACATAGTTGAGCCAATTTTTAAATTTAAGTAGTCAAAACAGATGTAATAGACACAACACATGAAAACACAACCAGGTATCTATTTTCCCTTCAGGTGGCTTGTTCCTGGAATAAATTAACTCGGCTCTTACATTGTTTTTCAAGCACTCCCTTTACCCCATAAGCACTCTCCAAGAAGTTATTAAGAGGCGTGGCTATGGAAAATAAAGCTGAACTTTTTGTTCTGGCACAAACCTCAGTCTAGAACTTATTCAATCTGTAGGATTTCCCTGCTCTCCCTCATAGTCTAGAATTGCTTTCAAGGGAATGTAGCAGGCAGATGAAATCAAGATGTGTTTAAGTGGCTTGCTGGACCAGACCCAAAGTCCCAAAATGTAATTAAATAGTAAGTTTTATTAACTAATTTAATACAAAAAGGAATGTGTGCATACGTTATAGGGCTGAACTAAGTTTTGTAAAACTTTATT